GGCCCGGGCTCGCCCCTCCCCCCGCCGGCGCTGGCCCCCCCCCCCGCCCCTCCCCCCGTGCCCCCCACGCTCCCCCGGCGCCTCCTGAGCGACCCCGGGGAGGGGGAGGGGGAGGGGAGCGACGACCCCCTGGACGGCGACGATGAGCTGGTCATCGACCTGCCCGAGTGACCACGAGTGACCCCTGAGTGACCCCTGAGTGACCCCTGAGTGACCCCTGAGTGACCCTGAGTGACCCCTGAGTGACCCCTGAGTGACCCTGAGTGACCCCTGAGTGACCCCTGAGTGACCCTGAGTGACCCTGAGTGACCCCTGAGTGACCCTGAGTGACCCTGAGTGACCCCTGAGTGACCCCTGAGTGACCCTGAGTGACCCTGAGTGACCCCAGGGAAGATTTTGGGGTGAAAATCTGGGAAAAACGGAAATTTCTGCAAAATCCGACGTTTTATGAAGTAAAAAAAAGAGATTTGGGGAGGAAAAATGGGATTTTAGAAAAAAACCTGGAAATTTTGGGCGGGAAATAAAAATATTTTGGGGAATGTTCCGGGATTTGATGGAAAATGTGGAGTTTTAAGGAATAAAAGTGGATTTTAGTTGAAAGAAAAAATCAATTTTGGGGAGGTTTCGTCAATTTTGGGCCAAAAACGCCAAAATTTTGGGGGGAAAAACCTTAAATTTGTGAGTGAGAAATGAATTTGAGGTGAAAAACTCAGAATTTGGGCTCCAAGGGTTTCAAAAATTGGAATTTTGGACCAAAACGCCCCAAATTCGCCTCGGAATCGTCCCCGTGACGTCATCGCCGCTTGGCCCCGCCCCCTCCCTCCCCAGCCAACAACGGGGGCGGAGCCTTCTTTTGGCGCCAAATTTTTTATTGGGCAGCCCCGCCCCTCCCCCCTCGTTGGGTGGGGGTGGGGCTCAGAGGGGGAGAGTGGGCGGGGCTTGGAGGGTGGGGGAGGGGCTCGAGAGGCCCCTCCCCCCCCTCACCAGCCCTGGCTGCCCCCGGCGGTCCCGTCCAGGGGTGGGGGAGGGGCGGGGGCGGGGCTCGGGGTGGGGGTGGGGCAGCCGGAACCTGGAAAAGCGGGGGAGGGGAAAGAGGTAAAAATGAGGGGGAGGGGCCAAAACGTCACCCCTCCCCCACTTCGAGGAAAACCCCTCCCCCACCACGCCCCCTCGGGCCCCTCCCCCCACCCGCCACACCCACGCAAGCCCCTCCCCCCCGACCCCGCCCCTTTCCCCTCCCCCACCTGTGGGTGCCTGCTGGGCGCCGAGGGGGGCGGGGCCTGCCAGGGGGGCGGGGCCTGCCAGGGGGGCGGGGCCGGGCGGTTTCTGCTGGTGGCGGGCGGAGTGAGCGCGGAGCCGCTCCCGCGTGGCGAACGCGGCCTCGCACGCCTGGGGGCAAAGGTCAACCCGGGGTCAAAGGTCAAACCGGGGGCAAAGGTCAAACCGGGGGCAAAGGTCAAACAGGGGTCAAAGGTCACGGGGGGCAAAGGTCACGCGGGGTCAAAGGTCAAACAGGGGGCAAAGGTCACGGGGGCAAAGGTCACGGGGGGCAAAGGTCGAACCGGGGTCAAAGGTCAAACCGGGGTCAAAGGTCATGCGGGGTCAAAGGTCTGGGGTCACACGGGGGTCAGGAAAGGTCACAGGGTCACAGGAAGCCAAAGGTGGGGTGGGTGTGGTCAGGTGGGTGTGGTCAGGGGTGGGTGTGGTCAGGGGTGGTTGTGGTCAGGGTGGGTGTGGTCAGGTGGGTGTGGTCAGGTGGGTGTGGTCAGGGGTGGGTGTGGTCAGAGGTGGGTGTGGTCAGGGGTGGGTGTAGTCAGGGATGGGTGTGGTCAGGGGTGGGTGTGGCCGGATGTGGGCGTGGCCTCACCTGGCACTTGAAGGGCCGCTCGGTGGAGTGAACCTGCCGGACGTGGCTGTTGAGGTGATCCGGCCTGCAGAGTGACCAGTGACCACCAGAGTGACCACCAGAGTGACCAGTGACTGACCAGTGACCACCAGAGTGACCAGTGACTGACCAGTGACTGACCAGTGACTGACCAGTGACTGACCAGTGACCACCAGAGTGACCAGTGACTGACCAGTGACTGACCAGTGACTGACCAGTGACTGACCAGTGACTGACCAGTGACCACCAGAGTGACCAGTGACTGACCAGTGACCACCAGAGTGACCAGTGACTGACCAGTGACTGACCAGTGACTGACCAGTGACTGACCAGTGACCAGAGATCACCAGTGCCCATGGCAATGTCCCCAAGTCCCAGCAGACCCAACCATGACCCAACGATGACCAATGACAATGACCAACCATGACCAGTGATGACCCCAAGCCCCACCATGACCAACGATGACCAATGACCCAACCACGACCCAATGATGACCAATGACCCAACCATGACCGATGACCAATGACCCAACGATGACCAATGACCCAACCACGACCCAACGATGACCAATGACCCAACCATGACCCAACCATGACCAGCGACCCAGTGATGACCCCAAGCCCCACCATGACCAATGATGACCAATGACCCAACGATGACCAATGCTGACCAATGGCCCAACCACGACCCAACCATGACCCAACCATGACCAACAATGACCAATGACCCAACCATGACCAATGACCCAACATTGACCAATGATGACCAATAACCCGATTACCCAACAATGACCAACGACCCAACCATGACCCAACCATGACCCAACAATGACCAATGATGACCAATGACCCAACAATGACCAACAATGACCCAACGATGACCCAACCATGACCCAACAATGACCCAACGATGACCAATGACCCAACGATGACCAATGACCCAACAATGACCTATGACCCAACGATGACCCAACAATGACCAATGACCCAACAATGACCAATGACCCAACCATGACCCAACAATGACCCAACCATGACCCAACGATGACCAATGACCCAACGATGACCAATGACCCAACCATGACCAATGACCCAACCACGACCCAACCACGACCCGACCGCGACCCCTGACCCAGTGATGACCCCAAGCCCCACCACGACCCCGCCCCTCCCCCACCTGGAGAAGCTCTTGCCGCAGTGGCCGCAGGCGTAGGGCTTGTGCACGTGGCCCTGGTGGGAGCGCACGTGCGACGCCATCCTGTCCTTGCGCTTGAAGCGCTGCTGGCACACGGGGCACTGGAACGGCCGCTCGTCCGTGTGCGACAGCCGGTGCCGCTTCAGGTGGTAAACGTCCCGGAACGCCTTCCCGCACGTCTCGCAGGCGTGGCTCTTCCGCCCCGCCCCCGCCGCCCGCTTCCCGCCCTCCCCCGCCTCCCCCTCCCCCTCCCCCGCGCCGGAGGGCTCCAGCAGGTGGGGGAGGGGCAGCAGGGTGGGGGAGGGGCGGGAGGGGCGCTTGGGGGCGGAGCCGTGCGTGGCCTGGTGGCGCCGCAGGTTGTAGCCGTTCTTGAACTCCTTGGCGCAGAGGCCGCACACGTAGGGGGCGCCTTTGGGCTTGCGCTGTGACGTCATCGGCGACGTCATCGGTGACGTCATCGGCGGGGCGGCGGGGGCTTCCGGCGGTGACGTCACGGAGGGAGGGGGTTTGAGGGGGGAGGGGTCGATGGTGGGTGGGGGAGG